CCCCGGGGCGGTCAGGCGCGTCAGACGAGAAGGGATCGACATGCCGCCGTTGACATCGAGCAGGAAGATAGTGTTCCAAAAATAGAGCAGGCAGGTGTGTGAGAACAGGGACGCAAGATGCGCGACAGAACGGCCTTGAACGCACCGAAGATGATCACTGCTACGTCCACAGAACACAACATTCCCAGCTCATATGCCTTCTTGAATAGCCCGTTCTTCCGCTGCACGCCATGGGCAATTTCGACGCGCCAGCCAAGAACATGCAACAGACAGACAGCGCAGCACAGCACACAGAGTGGTTACCGACAGCCGACAGCCGACAGCGAAGGAGATATAAAAAATAAATAGGCGTTAGCCTCCGTCGAAATAATTATAGCGAGCGCACAGCAGCACAGCAGCGCCACTCAGTCAATGCGTCACACTAGCACTGCAGCTCCCGCACAACGCATCGCAAAAACACTGAGAACACAACTCGCCTTGAGAAAAGTCACTGAGCGGTTGCGCTCGTGCTACCAGCGCCCGCGAGAGAAAATAGAGTCAGCATGGCGAACTGAATTGCGCGAGAAAATAGCACGGGGGATAGAGAAACGGGACGATGGAAATAGGCTAGCGGATGGAGAGGGACAAGGAGATTGCAGTGACCCATGGCGGGAGTCTTTGGACGTGGTCAATGTAATGCAGTTGTTCAGTAGAGCAGCAGGTCGTGTTGGACACGGCAGCAAATATTGTTGTTCTTGCAACGGCAGACTCTGCAGTGGAAGCTAGTCGTGAGAGAGAGGAGAGAGATGGCAGGAAGAAAGCAAGAGATGTTGAGAGAGAGAAAAGCAGAAGGCAAAGTGAAACGAGATAAGTAAAAACCAACACACACGTGATCACTTTAGTTGGTGGGAAAATGGACTTGTCGATTTTCTGACGTTTATCTTGCTAGGCAGAAAAAACTTCCAAGTATTTAAGAAATCAAGAACAATATTAGTAGTTATGATAATTTCCACTTACTTGTAATGACTTCTAATGTTATTAGAATACTTGGTTAATCTTGTATTTGTTTTGTAATCCTTGTCTGACTCTTGTATTTGTTTTGTAATTCTTGTCCAACTCTTGTATGACATTGTATTTATATCAAATAATTACATAAGATTATATTCAAATAAGAATTCTGTCCCTATATTGTAATTTTAAAATAAGTATACTACTAACATGTATGTATTTATATTTAATTGTTTAGTTTACCAATACTTAATCTACCTTACCATATCTAGAAGGGTATACAAGATTTTTTCACATTTTGTGATGTGGTAGAAGCACACACCCAGTGTCTTGACTCTTATTCTGTTCTGAAAGTTGATTTTTGAGGAGACAGTAAAATTGTATAAGAGTGATGCTCCTGTTGATGCAGCAGAGATAAGTATGAAAGATCGTTGAGAGTGGAGGCAAGTGTGAAAACAATTGGTACAGTATAGTATGGTATGGTCTGTAAGTCTGTAACAACTAACATGATGGAAGCAGGCTACGTGAAGTTTTTTTCAAAATGGTATCGCTCTAGCAAGTGATATGTGTCTGTCATCCTTCAACGCAATTGTAAATGTAGACATATGTATTGCATTGCTTACTCGAAGAAATGAGAGCATATTATACACATGTATTGGCCTAATGCTACTTATATTTTCATTTAACCTCCGCCCTGATCCATATACACTGTCCCGGATTAATGAATCGTTGTACGCGCGAACTAGCTGCTTTACAAGCGATCTGCAGAAAATGAACACGTTTAGCGGTCTGAGCAGAATGACGACTTCGCTTTGTTAGCTTACTTGTGTTTCCAAGGTCTGCACATGCTTCCTTCACGCGAGCAGTGAGAGTCTTTTCACCCTCACGTACCCAGTTACGCGGATCGTAATACTGTGAGGGAGGCATGATATTGAGCATAAGAAGGCATGTAGTGAGAAATACTTCGCACCTTTTTGTTAGGTTTGTCAGGGCCTTCGGGGTTGCCGACTTGGGATTGGAGGTAACCGCTCTTGCTCTGGATAAAGTCCCGGATTCCGATGAGGTATGCCCACTGCGTATCAGTATCAACGTTCATTTTCACTACACCATTATCTACCGCAGTCTTGATCTCTTCCTTTGACGAACCCGACCCGCCGTGGAAGACGAGGAAGAGCGGTTTAGGGTTCTTGCCGCCGATTTGTTTTGCTGCGTACTCTTGGTGCTTGCCGAGGAGTTCGGGGTGCAGACGAACATTTCCGGGTTTGTACACGCCGTGGACGTTCCCAAAGGCGGCGGCGATGGAGAAGTTGGGGCTAATCTTAGAAAGTGCAACGAAAATGTCGTATACATCCTCTGGCTGTGTGTAGAGGGAGGAGTTGTCAACACCAGTATTGTCAACCCCATCCTCCTCACCACCGGTAATACCTATTTCCATCTCGAGCCAGAGGTTGACCTTAGCCATTTCGGTGAAGTATTTTACGCAAGTTGCGATGTTCTCCTCCTTCGGCTCCTCGGACAAGTCGAGCATGTGAGAGCTGAAAAGCGGCTCACCGTGCTGCGCGAAATATGCCTTGTCCGCTTCGAGCATGCCATCGAACCATTCAAGCAACTTCTTGGCGCAGTGATCCGAGTGCAGGATAACGGGGCTAAAATAGTGCAGAAAAGTGAAAAGGACTAGTTAGTGGACTTTGAGGGGAAGATGCGATGAGGCGGTGTTGGGAGCTTACACTCCGTATGCTTTAGCGACGGTACGGATGTGGTGCGCAGCAGCAATAGAACCGGTGATAGAAGCTTGTTGTTTGTCGTTGGAGAGACCCTTGCCTGCGAAGTAGGCGGAGCCCCCCTGTGAGACTTGTAGGATGATCGGCGCTTTGATGTCACTGAATATATGCGTCAATTTTTCATGAAATACGGGAGAAAACTTGACCGGATATACCGAGCAGCCTCGATAGCGGCGTTTGCGGTCGATGACGAGGTTACATTCTGCCGGTTTCTTAGTTTACATGGGTCTACATGAGGATAAGTGCCACTTACAATAGCCTACGATAAGTCCGCAAGAAAACGCATCCTGGGTTATTCACTTCCCCAACAAAACATGAACCCCAAAAGAACTCACAGGAATCGCAAACTAGATTTACGGTCAGCTCGTTATAATGAAAAAAGAGTCGCTATGCTCACTTTGTTTTCTCGAGCATACTCAAAGACCTTGCGAACATTATCGCCTGTAACTACACCCGCCTGTCCGAGGTATTTTTGAAGGGTCAATATATGCATGTCACGCGTGGCGACACGAAATGGTGGTACGCACAGGAACGATATCAAGCAGTCCCATAGCTATTGAATAAAATTTGAAGAAAGCTGAGAGAGGGTTTGGGGACGGTGGTGGTGGTCAGAAGGCAGAAAGGACGCTGAGCTTGGCTGCGAGTAATCATGAGGAAATTGCCGGAAGCGGCCGTCCGCGGATGACATCAATCAGAGAGTCGCATTTCCCTTCGCCACATCCAATTACAATACAGTCGAAAGTAAAATTACAAAACGTGCAATATCCATGTGGTGTTTTAGTGTCGTGCTAATCGTCTAGGATTCTTACAGTCAACGAACCGGATACTTGCATTCTTCCTACCAGATGCAGAAAATACACAGGATACCTTCTCCCAGCTTCATACCTTTCGGCGGCGTGAACGGTCCGTCAGGTTCATGAGCACATAGCATATACGCACGCGCGGAGAGGATCGGAATCACTTGAGAGCTAACCTCCCTTACAGCTGAGAAGCTAATAACTCAGAAGGGCAGCGGCCGCTCGTGCGTGGCGGCTAGTGGGGAGTCCATTCCCTTGAAAGTGAAGTCGGTTCAACCGATCTAGCCGATGTGCACAGATATAGCACGCTGTGCAGAGTCTTATTATAGGGGGACTCTAATGAGTCTAATCCTCCTCGAGATGCTGACGATAGGTCCACAGAATCTCAGGGCACGCCATGGATGTCGGACGGAAGGCACAGGTCGGGGCAAACAAAACATCGGACTCTGATTCTAAAGTTACTTTACTTGTGGCTCCGAAGAATGTGTATTGCGCCGAAGGGCTGCAAGCCGACTCGTCGTGTTTGTGCCGACTTGCTATTAGTATAGTTGAAGTGACAGGGTTCACGAGACTACAACAAGTGACAAAATTCCGGTGATGAAGGGCGGAAGAAGTGAATCCAGAAAGGGGAGGTTCAGATATATTGGCAGTTACTGTAACTCATGGGAGGGAAAAGAGAAGTGCGCAAGTAGCTATTTAGTCGGAACTCGGGAACTCGGGAGTCAATCTGCTTGCTCATTTGAGAATTGAGCATTGAACACAATAAACACCGGTGTGACGTTCCGAAAGTCAAGGAGAAGCATTCAAGAGTCGACATCCGGTATTGATACAGCTAGATGGAATTAAATTATCGTCCTAACTTGTATGGCTTTTTTGTTGCTTGGGGTATGAGGAAGACTCGTTCACATGACTATTTAGGGCAGGCTTCTACGCGTCGCGTCATTCTTTCTCAAAGTTCCTTCCTTTTCGCCGCGATCCCTGCCAACTGAAGGTCAAGCATCGGAGAATTATGTCGAACTTTCTCTTACGGCTTGCATTCTCATCTTTCTCAGTTATCTGGTTCCGCTCTTCTTGGAATAGGCTCCGTAATTCTAACCCTAGTCAAAACTGACAACACATTCAAGACACACAAGATAGGCCACACTGACTACCCAATTGAGCAATCCACGAAGTTACATAACATTTCCCAAATACCAAATCCGAGCAGAAGTTAAATTTAACGACACATTGAACTTTCCAAGTCGGCCTGTGAAGAAAACTGGTGTCAATTGGAATAGAAGAAATGAACTCAGAACTTCAGAAGAACGCACTGGTCTAAACTTTCCTTTCTTCCTTGGTCCTATTCAGGCAAGCATCCTTAGGCGCCAGTCGCGGTCGGAACGTCGAGTGAGATTGGAAGTGAGGTCGGGAGAGACGTTGGGACCGAGATGGATGGCACTGAGATGGATGGCACTGAGACGGACGAGAGACTTGGGACCGTGACCGGGAGTGAAATCGGAAGAGATGTCGGGAGTGAGACCGGAAGACTGGTCGGAAGTGTGGTCGGGAGTGAGATGGAGGGTACCGAGATGGATGCCACCGAGACCGATTCGAGCGAGACGGATGAGAGGCTAGGGACCGTAACCGGGAGTGAAATCGGAAGAGACGTCGGGAGTGAGACTGGAAGACTGGTCGGGAGCGTGGTCGGGAGTGGGATGGACGGCACCGAGATGGATGGCACTGAGACCGATGGGATGGAAACGGACGAGAGATCATCTTGACCAAGCGGCAGCCCTGTTGGGATTGGTATGTCAAGTGAGATGGACGTCGAGAGTGCCGGGATGGACGTTGGAATAAGGGCTGCACTCGTCGAGGCTGCGACCATGACAAGGACGACAAACAGCTTGTTGAATGACAGCATGATAGCCTTGAGCAAGGATATTTAGAGGTATGATAGAGGCCGTTGCACTAATGCTTAGGACAGTTACCCTCCTCAAGGTCGACTAACGCTGCTCTTTTATACACTTCAAGGATTTCTTTTCATTTTTCCGTTTTTCAACGGAAGATCCTCTGCTTTTAGTGAAGTTCTTCTGCTTAAGGTGCTGTCTGACTTCGTGAAAACTTGCTCAGTCCGATCGCTTCTCTTTGCGTCTGGAGTTCTCATATCTTTCCCTCCCGGAGGCGATTGCGTTCTTCTCTTCCCGAACGATGCAACCTTCTCCATAGATGCCGTAACACGTTGACATATCGCGAGAGCTTCAAGTTTGGAGGTAAGACGAATTGGTTCTACGTCTGGGAAAGCACGCACTGATCTTACTGGTCTACTGGCCAGTCCTTCGCCATTGGTAGTAAATGGCTCAACTATACACTGCTGAGCATATCTTGTTGCGTAGACATATCCTACTTTTGAAACGAAGGATGTGTACACGTTCAGGCCACAGGTATACGCCATCTGATTGAAACGATTCTATCAAGGCAACATTGCTGGATACCTACATCTCTTTTGTACCTCTCTTGATTATTTGAGCCTCGAAAAATGTCCAGGAGAGTTTGCACAGCTCTAAATAGAGCAATGAGGTCAAATGTTAAGCAAGCACTATGCAAATTTGTTACAAGGTAGAAATTTACAGGGCCGACTGAGCTATCTAACAGCTACGCTTGAAAATTTGATCAGTCTTCCAATTGAGTGCATGCTACCGTGTTTTAACTACATCATTCTTGTACACACTCCACAACCGTTAACAAGTATCTGTATATTCAACGTTGGATGGAACTCCTACCTTATAAAGTTGCTACAGAGCTGATTGGATATGATGGTTTAAAACAATACGTGTACTACAATTGCCTTTTAAAATCAGTTAGAACCAAACTGCCTGTAAAAGTAGATATTGTTTTGAGTGGTAAATAACGGGATAATGAAATAGTTATACAAGAAACCCACTTTCAATTCGCTCTGCCTACAATACCTTAGAGCCCAGCATAAGAACCACTTAGTGGCTACCAGTGACACATGACTACCGGAAAGTATTCCAGTTAAGCTTGAAATGAATCTGACAGTCGGAATGGAGCAAGCTTACACCAAGTCCAATGGTAGCCAAGTCCCCTGTAAGACCAGAAATGGCTTTGCAGATCTGACCCACTGCGCACTCCACCATCGAAGTGCCGACTGGCAGAAGACTGAGGTCGATAGGTTTCGAAGTAGCATTACAGACCTGCGAAGGGAGAACGCCCTCGAGCAGGCGTTTCTGGACCTCAGCGGCAGGAGTTGCAGAGACGACCGCCGCTAAGGCGAGAGCGGCAAAGATCTTGCTAGAGTACTGCATATTTTCTGTAGAAATCGAGTTTTGAGCTATATGCTGGTTACTAGGCTTTGGAGGACTTATTTGCTGAGGGTACTAGTTATCAATAAACTCGATGATTTATACATTCTGTAAGTCCGATTTCCTGGGTATTTGTAACGAGATAATAGCTGGACCTTCGTAGAGCAGAGATTTATTATTCAAGTTGCATGTGATATCAGCACGACTGCATCTGGTTGTATGTATACTTGTTCTATCGGCCGGTAAATGCGGACTGCTGCGTATCACTGAAGGCGTGCGCTGTCTAGCATCTGGGGTGTATGGAAAATTAGTGTTTGTCCTCGCAGTGGATTATCAATTACGGTATTGTACATTTAATGTTTACCACTGACTTATGTACTTGAGCAAATGCTTGGTTTTTTTACGTGATACGAAATATTGGGCCCAACTTGGCAAAAAGCCAACTCTATTCCAATCTGTGCATATTCCGACTGAGCATAAAATGCTAGATTGTATAAGCTTGCATTACGAAATAGGACGGACAATGGATTATTATCTGTCGTGTATACTCAGCATACATCAGGCCATCAGGCAGCTACAATACTAGGTTTCACAACGTTACTCCAATATGAACGCGGCCAGACTGGGCCGCAGTATTAGCCTTACTCAACGTTTATTAAGGCATAGATCCGAGTGAATCGGCGGACGATATAGAAGGGTGCTGGATTCGTGGACAAGAGAAGCGCGGGTGCATGAAGCATGAACTCCGAGTCGGAATCGATACATACGGAGAGCTGCAGAGGGCCGTGTGTTGACTGAGACAAGTTCGTCTACAGATTCAAAGATGAGATTGGTGTAAGCACCATCGGTGATGCCATCCACAGTCGGATATGCAAATCCAGGACTGACAGATCCAGTTCATATACGAAGGAGAGAAATTGAGGTAGACGAGACTTATCCGCGCATTGTGCTGAGAGTATCGCTGGGCGAAGTTAAACTTAATGATGTACGATGCGATTATACCTTCCTACAATATGTCTAACACCTTTAGGGCGATTGTTCTTTGCAGTCAACCCATGTATTTTTATGATAGAAACAGTAAGGACCTTGAAGAACTCGAGTCAGCAGTTATGAGAGAAATCAGGACACGTAAATATTTGGTGGGAAGTAGTTAAGTGAGAGTTTGGTAAGCTTACTGGAATACCGGTGGATTCGAAAGTTGTTGAGAGGGGTTATGTGAGAGGCTTAGAGGGATCACACAAAGAGGGGGGATAGTGGACTCGGCTCGTTCTCCTTAGCATCATTGTCCGTTGATTCAGTAGGTATATATAATATGTAGCTATGTCTCGGGTATGTCCGTTGCTTATATGTGTCATTCCATATATGTTAACACTCCCCTTCAAACATATATTAGTTTAATAATATGTTTGTTTTGCGACTATTCGTTTATTTGATTTGTAGTTATTTTTATTTTTATTTTTAGGGGTAGTTATAGCACTGCTACCACTCCCCTTCAAACATTTATAAGTTGGCCAGACCTATAAGATGTTTGATTTGCAGATCGTTCCAACATTTTTATTAGTATTGTATCTGTATTGTATGTTGTGTCTGTATTATATTTGCTTGTGTATCACATATAATAATATCATTTGTATAATATAAATGCATTGTTTGTATTGTATATTTTGGTCCACTGTGTGTTAACTTTGTGCTTTGTTAGATATTTATTAAGTTTTTGTTCACTGTTGTGTCATTAGTTCTGTAGTTCGTTCATTGTTATATTATTAAGTCATTGTTCGTCATCTTGTAGACTGTTCAATGTGATTGAAATTGTTCAGAGTTAATCCAAAGTTTGTGCATAGTTTACTGTTCAATGACAGTATTGTTTTTACAATAAATCGTTCGAAATTGTTATTAATATCATATGTGCTTCAGAGACCTGCAGAATCTCATGAGTACTGTGTAAGATCGTAAATCATGTGTTTTATTTATTAAATTTGCTTGAGTATTACTAGTAATTTCTTTTTACTTTACTGTGAAACTAATGAATCATGCTAGTAAAATGTATATCCAGTGTTGTAATGATATCCTTCTTTAATCATTGCTGTCCATGTTTGTCTACATTCATATATGTGTTAAGCATTCAGTAATAGCTGATTTATGTCTTTGGATTGAAGCTTTACATTGATTGTATGTTGTAATATTAATAATGTTATTTGTTTTTGCCAGATTGCTTCATTCCAAGATTAATAAGGTTTTATACTAACATATATTTGTTGCATAGATATTATATCTGGCTGCAGGCAGCTTACTATGTGTTTAGGTGCATCATATATGTATTATATTATGAATGTATTGTTTGTTTGTTTGCTTTACATTATTGTTTATATTTATATATTAATGTTACATTCTATAATGAATCGTTTCTGATGCATCCTGAGTAACTATACAATCTGTTACATTATTTCTTCAATAGCCAACATAATTATCCATTGTAAATCATTAGTAACGTGTGTTTGTATTATTTGTTATTAACAGTGTTATTGTGAATTGTTGTGATCATAATGTCATGAATATTTATTAGTATTATGGCTATTGTTCTTTGCTTTTTCTTTTGCAAAGAATAGTACATTGTAACACAATCTGCATATAAGTAATATATTGGATTATGTTTACTATAATAGTCTCCTAGCATACTTTAGTTAATCTAGTAGTATGCACAATTGTAGTATTCGTTTGACGTTTTATTTGTTAATTGATTTGCTAGGTAAAGTGTTTTATATATTGGTTTTATTTATTTTATTTGAATCATTGTATAGATATACTTATTAGTATCTATCCAATTTATTTCATAATGTTATAATGCTGTTCATACTTGTATTAATTGTGCAGTGAGGGCAAATTAATCATTTGTACAAGAATTGATTTAATAGTTTTATTTGATTATATGTATGTGCTCCATACTTGTTTGTATAGTTATTATCTTTGTATTGTTCGATTGTAGTTGCAAATTATATTGTAATTATATTTGTATTATTGTATGGATATATTATTTATTGTTTTATGTATGTTCCAAAGTATTATTTTTGTTATTCATCACTTTTATCCATGAACTATAGTCTGGATTGATGAATTATTTTATTATATGACATGATAATTGTCTGTATTTTATTTATTTTCGTATTAAACATTGTTAAGTTAATTGGATTATTATATTAATATTATTTGCCAAGTATGAGCATTTGTTTTGTAGTGGAATTATTATTTATTTAACATTGAAGTTCAATCATACATTGTGTTGACTTCTATTATTTGTTCCAATCAACATTATTTTGTGTTGCATCAAATGATTTACCTTTGTGATCTGTTATATCTGTCTGTAACTTCTATCACTTATCATTTTTTAGGATCAGCAATAAGATCAACGTTTCTGTATCATCAGTTTTACATTGTGAACGTTCACACATTTGCTACAAAGAATGCTTTAGGAATATGTGCCATTTTTAGGCTTTATTATTATTAATTTATTAATTATCCGTTTGAATAACTTTTATAAGCATTGAAAATGTTATGTGATGTATAACTTTTATATTCTTTAATAAGGTATTTTGTGTTCAACAGATTTGTCAGATTCATCACAGATTTCACTTAGTGACATAGTCAATATGTCTGTATTAAGAATTCAATGTTCATCATTAGTGTGTATATTATTCAATTACTCCCCTTCAATTTGAGAAGGTTATTCTTTGAGTAATTGAAAAGTAGTGTAAGTATATAAGTACATTGTTGATTTCCTTTCATGTATTTGTAATCCACCAAGTAGTGTTAGTACTTTGTTATTTTACTTTCATACATTCGTTAGTATGTGTTATAATATAATAGTATGTTTTAAGTTAACTTGTAATGTTTGACATACATCATTTTGTTTAAACATTACACTGTAATGTTGTACTGTTTGTTTTATAAATTTTAATATAATGTTTGTAATATGTCTGTAATATTTCAGACATACTAAGAAATCTCTCTGCATGTTTACAGTTACAACATTAGTTGCACATCTATTCATATCTCTGATAAGATGTAATAGATATGCTTGTGTCCACTTTTCTTTATATATTATACTGTCCAAGATAATGTGTTAAACGTTTTATTAATTTATTTAATCTTATTATATTATGATTGTTTTTGTTTGTAATCATTATAATAAGTGTGTCTGTCATAGTTTTTCTGTTGTTTGTTGTACTAGCCATATTGGCATAGTACTTCACTTGTATATAAGCTTTGTAGCTTTAATATAAGTTTATTTATACTTTGTTAAAGTATATCTATGTTCTGTACAATTAAATATGTTCTGTTACATTGTTGTAGTAATAGTAGAGGTATTATTCTACTGTTTGCCATTATTATACATCATTATTATATGTTTACACTATTATAGGTGTAAAGTATTGTCATTTGTTTATTAACTATAATTGTGTACTTGTTCCTGTACCATAGTTACTGTAATGTACTTTGTAACTTTATTATTATTATTATTATTATTAATTCATCTGTAGATAGTTGTACACTTTCATAAGCTGTATTAGTGTGTAGATATTGGATGTCTTAGATATCAGATGGATATCTACTAACTTGTTTTATCTTATATCTAACATGTCCAACATATCTGAGACATGTCTTACATTAATTGTTTGGCCATAATATTACTATATGTGTTATTATTTTATTTATACTATACTATATGTGTGTTCATTAACAGTGTCAATCATTTGTGCTATTGTAATATTAATAACAGATGAGTAGTGTTTGCTTTCTCAATCCTTCTAACATTTGTCCATAGTATGATCAGTTATTTATAATAACATAATCTTTGTAATATTATAGAATATTTTAGTGATTAAATGTTGTAGTAAGTGATACTCATTATAGTTTCAGCACTACCTACACAGACCAAGTTATTACTAGGCCAATAATCATAATCACTAAGACAATGATCATATAATGTCTGGGTCATGTGTAGTACAGTAGATTGTGTGTCTGTAGTGTATCAATTTGTGTTTAGGATACTCAGACAGGTGTGTCAAGTTCTGTGTCTAGTATGCTGTATGTATACATACAATCTGTAGAGCTGCATAGAGCATAAACATAGTAGAGTGTAGATAAAGTGTAGGCAGGGAGTGCAAGGCTCATAACCTGTTGAGAGGGGTTATGTGAGAGGCTTAGAGGGATCACACAAAGAGGGGGGATAGTGGACTCGGCTCGTTCTCCTTAGCATCATTGTCTGTTGATTCAGTAGGTATATATAATATGTAGCTATGTCTCGGGTACGTCCGTTGCTTATATGCGTCATTCCATATATGTTAACAAAAGTACTCGTCACTGCACAGTCAAGAAGAGGCTCCCACATACGGATGGGTGCATGACAAATGGCAGAATCCTGAGAGAGCGTAGACTGTGGCAAATCAGAAGAGACGACCTTCATCTTGACTACCTTACCGAGACTGAATTCTGACGGAGTATAACTCAATAAGTGAGAAGGAAAGTTTACGAATTACGACTAGGGACTGGCGCAGTGACCGCCGCAGAAATCCGCAATCTGCACCGCAGATAGAGCCATCCGCGGTTGAAATTCCCACGGTAACCGCAGATGTCGCGGTTACGCTGCCAATGTTCGACTCTTTACATTGCATTTCTTTACTTTTTTTTTTCTTTTACTGTTGCTCAATACAAAACACCATTTTTTTACAATAAAGCAATTATATACTATTGAATACAAGTATTAGATGGGTATAACAACAAAAATGTACAAAGAATAAAAATAAATTAAGTAAAACCTTGTCTGGTTACAAGAAACTGTAATAATGATTATAGTGCCGAGAAAAAATTATAAAAAATCCTTAGAAATTATTATTCCTTGAAATTTTTCCTTCAATAATATTAAATGCATCCTGAAGATTAGAAAATAGAGGAGTATTGTCCCAAGAACCTACTGCCATCTGTGCAACAAATGTATTTGAAGACATGTTATGCTGCATAAAATTAATTTGGTGTCGGCCATGAGAAAATGCTTGTTCAGCATCAACGGAAGTAGCTATATAATTTTATTAGTATAAATAATACTATAGTAAAGGAAATAATATAATATGAAAGGACTTACCTGGTGCAGAACAGAAATCGAGACCCATCTGAGCTATACTAGGCCGACCAGTCTTGTTTCCATTCCAATATTGTAAGAGTCCTCCTGCTGCCTGAATAGTAGATAATGGGACTGCTGGCTCTACAAGATAGACATGAATACTATCAATAGGTTGCCTTTCTTGAGCTGCAGCCTCAGTTTCGACAATATAACGAGATCGACGCTTGAAAACCAAATTAGAATTGAATATAAAAAGTTAAGAAAATCTTACTATATTTTGGTTATTTTGGAGAGTTACTGCTTGAGAAAAGGTACATTGATACTTCTTGTATGATTCTTCCCATCTTGTAATAGCCATTTTCCGAATTTCTTGAACTTCAGCCATAGTGAATCCATTTGTAATGAACCAGCTAAGCTTCTTGTCCGGAGACATTACTGTATTATTAATGTATTAATAAAAAAGACTATGTAAAGAATGTAAAGTCTTACCTATTGCAATATAATAGGCTTCACACTCATCTGTAAGAGCATAGTACTTCTTACAGACAAGGAGTCCAGCATAAGCTGAGATCCGAAGAATTGGGAGTAACTTGTCATCATCACTTGCTTTCTTGAGAGCTTGTTGAATTACCAAGAACATAGGTATAACCTCTGCAATTAGAGGGACCTCTGCTTGAGAGAAAAGCTGAGTTGGTCCCTCAACAACCTAATAAAAAATTAATAAAGTATTTGTATCAGAAAGAAAGACTTACTAAGAGAATATCCCTAAGTTCTTCAGCAAGATGCCGTTGATTATCAGTGAGAATAAAGCCCTGAAGCTTATGGTCTCTAACACCAGTTAGCTTCTCAATAATACAGTACAATAGGAAGTATGCATCGAGGCAAGCAAGATCTGAGTTCCATCTAGTTGAAACACGCCGGTCAAGACTTCGCTTTTCACCAGTTATTGGTGAATTTGGATCCTTAGCAGCTGCATCAACCAGAATCTCGAATTCGGCCTTCAGATGAGCTGTATCATTGACTCTCTTTGCAAGCCCAGCAATCTATAAGAAGGCATTAGTACTTCAGGTACGCTTCTTACTTATGCTTGGAAAGTGTTAGCTCACCTTGTACATGACCATTTCTGCCTCCCGAAGCTCAGAAGCTGAGACTTCAACTCCTAGAGCACCCATAGCTTCAATAGCCTTGACTCGCACAGTATTTGCTACATGTGAGTCATGGACTGACTGGCTTTCATCAAAAATGTCGTCCTCATCATCACAGACAGAAGCTATGACTTCAGCTTCTTCAGGTGTCAATTGATCACCAGCATTAATGACTACTTCAGACTGATTACGCTCTAGACAAGCACGACGTGTTCCTGCACCAATTTTGACTGCTTTCTTACGCTTCACTGGCCGAAAAAACAGTGAAAGTATTGCCTACAGAATGAGACGTAAGCAGTAAATAGACAGCGTAGCGAACTGCCTTTACCTTTGCAATAAGATTCAAGATGTGTGCAAAACAACGGCCACGCGATTTTGCACCATGAAATGCTGGCAGCATCTTAGCAAGTTCGCTTGCTGTAGTGTCGCAATTTCCTGCATTGTCCATGGTAAGAACAAGTACCTAGATATCGTTCGTTGTCAGAAGCAAAATACATGAGATAAAAAAATAAAAAAAATAAGTTACCTTTTCCCGAAGATCATAACGCTGCAGACAGTCCGCCAATTTCCCTGCGAGATAAAGACCACTATGACGCTGTGTCAATCTAGAATGAATAGTCAGTCATGCGTTTGGGAAAATGCCACGCCTGTATAGAATTCGACGAGAATGCAAGCCAGTAATATTGCATCTCATCCACATGACAAACCCTGGCCTACAATGTGGCATCTAGTTGAAACGACGGATGAATGGTATTCGTCCTCGAAAGTAGCACTCGCAAAGTCTATGAGACGAATATCCGTGCCAGTAACTATGCATTTTCTGCATGAACGAGACGAAGTTCATGCAAGACTGTGAGGTAAATTAGTACGAGTGATACGACGAAGTTTTAGCAAGACCAGACTCACGAGAAAGGTTTCCCAACAATTGTCGGGTGAATCGCTGGACGAAGACATCGACATGTCGAACAGTTAACGGCTGGAAGTCGTTCGCGTTGAGGAAGTCGTATACACACATGCCGAATATAGTCACAAGGCAGATGTGATTGCGATGATCGGACCAAAGAGTATGATATTGTGCCAAGTAGTTGTGCGCAACAGAGTGTGAACTGTGATACCACTGGAACTTGAGGAGGCACTTGTTTTGAGAGGCTGTGCTTCCTCTGGAGCGTAGGCCGTGCAGGGTGTCATGTGGTGGTGAAGAATGGTGGAGAATCATGCCTAGAGAGCATGCAGTTGAAAAGAAGACAGACTTACTGGATGAATTCAAGGATAGCTCGGTGCATAACTCCACCATCAGTCCAAATGACTACAACACCCAAGTATGATGTAGCAATGGGTGCTGTCCATCCATCAATAGCCAAATGAATCTTCCCTTCATATTTCTGAGTAAAAGAGTAAGTTTTCGAATTCAATAAGTAATAAAAAAGAAATACCTTGAAATAATTCCGGACTTGAATGGATAGGCCTTGATAAAGAGACTTGATATCCCCAGAGACAGTATCAGGAGAGGGAAGAGTGGTGCCTGGGCGGAGCATTTCAACTTCAAGGGAATAGTACTTATCCCTTACAAAGTTGAAAGGCCGATTGTACTTGGCACATCGGAGGGCAAGGAGTGCTCGGTGAGTAGCCTCAGAATAGGCCAGAGAATTGCCAGAAGATCTGGAACTAGCATAAACACCCCTTTCCACATCACATACTCTTGATTTTTGCAATAGGTTGCCTGTTCCATCCCTCGTTCTTGCCCGTTCGCGCATAATGATAGAGTGACTAGGATTTCCATATCGGCAAGTGAACACAAATGAAATCTTCTTCAACCCATCAAGATTAAACCGTTTTACAGTGATATCGTAGTGATCATATGCTCCAGATTTCCACTTTTCAAAGCATGGGGCTGTATAATTACTTAAATTATTTTATAATGTATACAGGAAATTTATAGTACTTACCGAGAATCTCCTCATCAGTCAATGCCCAAACTTGGGCATCAGGCAAATCATAGATCAACTCCTTTACTCTCTTCCGGACTTTTGGTGCTGATAAATGTACAGCCGGTGCTTCTCCCGTCGTAAGTAATGATGGTGATTGCGGGAGTGTGGGAGAAAAAGAAGCATGCCCAACCGGCACTCTGGACATGTTGTAGGATTGTAAAAAAGGAGTGTTTAAGGAGTGTGGAGTGTAGTTTTGAGACATAGTAAAAATTTTATGTATTTTTTTGTTTTGAATGCTAATACTTGGGAAGTAACGAATGAGTACAGTTGGTATCTTTTCCCCTACATGCTAGCCGACGGATGTGCAGAATCTGCGGGATCCGTGGTATCCGTGGGAAATCTTCATCCGCGGTGCGAAACCGCGGTAAGCTCTATCCGCACCAGTCCCTAATTACGACGAAGGTTGCAACAAGCGTAACAGATCACATGACGGTGTGTCGTGCAGACATGCGCGCATATGCTCGGATGCTTCTTTCTTCTCTCTCTTCTCGGAGATTGAAGTTCACTGAAGTCCAACCTAGACTGCCGCGGTCATCGCACTCAAATCCGTTATACTTCTACGTTGATTCCATATTCTCCCGATTGCCGCTGCGAGTTCAACTCAAGACTGAACATTCCATTTGAACCATATCAAAGTTACAATGAAGTGCCATTACGGACTCAGACAAAGCTATCCTAACGTGAAGAACAGGCGAACAGCGCTCTAACCAGATGTTTGTATCAATTGGATTGGAAAGCGGAGCATCTCCGAGAAGAAAAACATACCTGACAGTTAAGCTGGCTAAAGATTGATTCCAGTCGGAAGTGGCAAGTCAAGGGAAATGGTCGTGTCTGTTGGTAGCGGCAGAGGAAGGCTCAGAGAGATGGACGTCGGTAACGGTATTGGCAGAGAAAGCGACTCGGATCCCGCGTCCTCAAGAGGGATCGCACCCGTCGGGAGTGTCAAACCGATCGAAATAGAGGTTGATATACCCGGGATTGAGATGGATGGAAGGGTAGTAGGCAGCGGAATGGACGTCGGGATGGACGTCGGGATTAACCCTGCGTTTGCTGAGATCGTAGCGGCAACGAGGGCGATGAAAAGTTTATTGAGAACTGCCATGATGAGTGCTAGTGAGGTAGTGGTTGGAGTAAACAGTGTAGTTCGCTATGGTAGTATTTTGGATGCTGCTGAACAAAGGGCACGCAATGCCATCGTTTTATACCGTTCTGTCGTTTTCATTTCTTTTCGATGTGAAGTTCTGTTTTTGTCAACTTATGCAAAATACTGCAGGTCTCGCAGTCCGGCTTCGCGGGAATAGTTCAGCTCCGCTGTCGTGTTACATCTTTCCACGCCTTTTCTGACGTCTTCCATTTCTGAGTGCCGTAATGCTAACAACGACCGTCGAACGCGTTTTTTTGGTAGGAAGATCGACTCCTTTTCGAGAGAATCTTCAGTTTCCTTGTTCTCTACCGCCGATCGTGAATTTCGAAGTTTGCTCACTTCGGCGCTATCATTACACCAACTATCGTAAACTCATTGACTTCTTATGCTTTAAAGTTACCCTTAACACAAAAAGTTGTTAGACGCCGCAAAGCACGTTTCATATTGTCCATCAACAGTCAGAACACTCGTGCAGACAACAGGATGAGATCAGGGTTGGGGGAGAGAACAGACTGGATACAGGTCTTCGAAAGCAGTACAGAGACCAGAATACTCCTTCCTAAATGAAGTGAATATCGACCCATCAGCAAAATTAAATGCGTAATGAGTAATCAGGTTTGACAGAGTAGGAGTGATAGATTGGTGACCCACATTCAGTCAGCTCATTATCGCAATGGTGTTGAACTGCTACCAACCAATTGTTCAATCGGTTGAATCGACGCACGTCTGTTGAAATGAGTACATAAAGTTACTTGAGCCCCTTAGAGACGCGACTTACGCCAATAGGAAGAAGGCTACCAATAACTGGGATATCGAGTTCGGTGCAAGTCTCGCCGGTAGCGCACGTAACAATGCTGGTGCCGGCCGGCAGACTGGAAGCGATTCCAGCGAGGGGATCCATAAGACAGACGACAGAAGGGAGGCCTGAGAGCTGGCGCTCCTCGACTGGAGTCGCAGAGACAAACGTCGCGAGAGCGACGGCGGCGACGACCTTGGTGAAGAATTGCATGTTCGCTAGCAGAGGAGTAGTACGTGTGAGTTTCTCGAGATTGATGTGCTGCTAAGGGCCTGTAGAGGACTGAGCTGCTGGGGGGTTGTCTGCTAGTCTCTGCGCCTTTTATGCACATCACGAAGACTGTTTGTCCAGCTTTGCAACACCAGACCGGGAGCGCCAATGAATGGGCCAAGTGTTCGGTGCGAGGCTGTGGTATAATCCATCCAATGATCTCCTACTTTCGGAGCCTTAGTGGTCCAAGACAATATATGTGCGGAATTAGGGAACCATGCGGAGCTAGAACATACAAGAACATATGACCAGCGCTCTTCATTTAAATCCTAGGCAGTGCAGCATTCAGTGGCCTGAGAAGTCGGTATTAGGATTTCCGAATCGCATTCCAGGAGTGTAGACGGTATTCCTACTCGATTTCTATCCAGTTACTGGACGATTTTCTTCAATCCGTTGTATCCAAACCGGGAATCCCCTTGTCCACATCGATTACTTAAATGGTCGGACGGGTCCAACCTGGGGCATACGGCATAAGCGCGGTAATGTGCGATCTTTGACATATAGGCCCGAAGGGTGCTTCTGCGCACTCAACGTTGCCAATTAAAGGCCCGTTGAGGTCTGCGGGTGAAAATAAACAGGCAATACACCTTGAAAAACAAACAAACAAACAGGCTGACACTGGTGAAGAATCGACAATGAAATCCACAGTTTCTGTTCGAGATTTATGAGCTTGCCTACAATGACAGGAAAGTGATTATTGGCGGCTTTCCGAACATATGTTTTAAAAAATCGAAACATACGGGATAACTCCGATGTGTAATCCTTCTTACGATGGTGAAAGAAGCAACTCAAGTTTACTCGGAGCTTCAAGTTCATTTCACAGCATCAATGGTCGATCAGGCCGAGCGGTCTCTTCCCAGGGCAAATGTCACCGACCGATGTCGAAGCACGAACGTGCAATGCAGATCCACAGGCATACAAAAAGAGCAATTTCACAGCTCTAATAGAGACGTGACCGCGTACATCAGCTCAGCCATGGAACCCGCGGTCCTCGATGACGTTCCAATCTTCCCAAGAAGCAGGATCAGTGAATGATTCGAACGTTGGTACGCGTCTCGGGGAAGTTATTTTAATGTGCGAGTTGGCAAGCCGTGCGGGAAGCTCATCGTCGGGTTAAAATTGTTCGCATACGAGGTCTAGAAGATGTACTGCGAGAGATTCGAGGGCGCCTGAAAGTCGAGAAGACGCTTCTTCACTCCCGCGATGGCGCGGATTTTCCCCACACGTTCAGTAGTGCTCTTCGGACTTGACTCGAATCCAAGCAACGTGTGCCACGAGAGTGGAGAAAACTGGAAGATCGTCAATGTACGAAAGAGGAATGATCTAATTGCAGAATTTTCGTACATCGAATGCATCTGACATAAGGTAAAAAATTGTCTCCGTTGGTTGAAAACACTCGCAGCAGCTATTGCTACTGCCCAATTCTCCAAGAGCATTTATTTAAACTTTATATCGTGAAGCAAATCAAAAGCGTAGCAAACGGAGCCGAAGGCAAGGAAAGGCTTACCTCGTTCCCCGCGGATGATATTCAGAATTTGCAGTGAACAAATCATATTCTGATGTATGATCTGCAAGACCTATATTCATACAACAAAACTCGTGGAGTATAGCGCGGTCTACAACGATCATTGACGGATGAAATTTTATGCTTACCGTTTAGCGATAAATTGGATCTACTCTATCTGAGAGTTGCGCAAAAAGGTTTAGGAGAGAGGCGTGCGTGGAATGCTATTGTTGATATTGGCTCACCACGGATGCTAGAATAATGGGTAGCATATGCACTAAATCGAAGCGAACCATCAAGCGAATCCTCATTGAAAATATCGTCAAATAGGCGGTAATCCTGACATTGTAACAAAATCGCATTCGGCTCGAGAAAGACGAACTTGTCCAATGAAATCGTCGTATCTGTGCCCAATAAAAGCCCAGGAACCTTCATGACGTTGAAAGCACCGTCATTCGAATTCTCTGTCCGCATGCATTGTGGCGTTGGTACCAGAGCAGTTTTGCATAGTGATTAGAAGGGGACATAGGTGCCTACTCTGTTTCTTCCTGGAAGCCGGTGAGTCAAAGCTGCTGACGCTAAGCGCAAGTATTACCGCTAGGAACGGATGAAGCACATAAAACGTCCCAGACACCCCAGGCACAAGGGCATCATGAATTGAGGGACTGGGATAAAACACCCTGGCCTTGGAAAGACGATGAAAAACATTTAGCTGAGTCGGAGTGCACTCTATCTTGCGTCTGAGTTGAGAACAAAGCGGACCGTCGCACTCAACGACTTGGCAGAGCACTGGGTACTTGGACATTTCTCGGGATTATTCCAACAGAGACGACGATAGGCTATGATCTTCTGTTCCGACCTGAAAACCATCGTGGCGAGAAGAAAAATGAATTTGATCTACAGGTGCTCCTGAGGGCAAAGCTGTCCAATTGAGGAGGGAGCACAGATTCGCAGTGCACCCAGAGGAGTAAATCAGGAACTGGAGTAGACAGAGTCGCCATGTCAGGGTTAATAGGTGATATGTATGGACTATTATCAGAAAAGGCACTCAATAATAGTACAGGCGGCCGTGATTTTAGGGCAGGGCGACAACGTTGCACGGTTAACTCGGTCTGACCAGAGGTTCTCCACCCATTAGCCCATCTCAATTCTCTTGTGAGTTGTGAGTTGTGCACGGCATGTAAGAAATATGCCAAAAATGCCGAAGTGCCGAGATGAAAATCGGGTGGTTAAGATGGGGATCGGGTTGCGTGCTTGCCTAAAGTAGTAGTCAAACGCGCAACAACTCGCAAGCACTCTGGAGTGCTTGTGAGTTGTCGGACTTTGAAATTAAATGATGTTTCTTGTATCCCTTACTTGTTTGTCCACTCAAATCACAAGAAATCTGATCGACACAAAATTCACAACTCAATCATCTCAATTCTTCCTAGTTGTGAGGAAACTCGGCATCAACCTTACCAGGGTCCTCTACAAAGCCGAGCTTCCTCGCAACTTGCAACTCGCAACAGAATTGAGATGGGCTATTATGCAATGGATTATTAGATTCCGTCGAACTTCGCTCTGGAACACTAAGTACTGAATGTTCCTCTTTTCGAATTATGAAGCTCGTGATTGGTGTCCTTGTGCCTGCTCGGGAAAGAAATACCCGTTGCAGTCCGATGGGTTACCGCCACTCGAGTTCAAGTCCAACAGATAAGAAAACTCAGCAACACCACCCATAATGATGAGACAACATTTACCGTGAAGCATTCAGTCGACTAACAAACCCTTTAATGTATGCAATATCACAAGGCAGGTTTCAACCTTAACAACGTGGTTCCCAATCTTATGCATGTGTGAGTGTGGAAGACAACGAAAATCAAATAAAAGGTTATGAACTTATGTAATGCAAAAATTGATCGCTAAAATTTTCAGAATGAATGAACACGTGAGTGTTCTCTGGCTATGTGTCAACCTGCAAACTTTCGATTGCGATTGCAGCATCAGGCTCTTTCTTGTGTGAAGAGAGCAACATCTAGGGCCTGATTCGGACGCAACCCATTCATAATGTCTCTCATCCTCCATGCGCGACGGCACATGCCGTGCTATAGCTAGTGGATCTTTACAATCTAGAATTTGCACACTTTTATCTAAACTTACCCTGATCAGGCTGCAGGATCTGATCCAAGCACTTTGACACAGCTTTAACTCTCGTCCAAAAACGCAATCAACATGGAGGAGAAAATACCATCAGAACATCTCAAGCGGAATAGCACTATTCACATCGGCTAAGGTCTCACGCGGACTCTACAAAAACCGCAACCTAGCGACCTACGGCATCTTCTCCCTTCCATTGTGCTCATCACGACAGTGTCGGGTTTGGATGAGTCTCTGCGATGGGTAACTTACTCTACCTCGACGTTTTGATCGGATGCGTTGGCGTTTATCTGCTTAAGCACTATGTCCTGGATCGTTCCAATCACCCTCCTCTTCCGCCTGGACCGAAGCCCAAGCCGATCATTGGAAATTTACTGGACCTTCCCCCGCCAGGCCAGCAGGAATGGATCCATTGGGCGAAGCACAAGAAACTCTATGGTGTGGAATTCATCTCTTATAATTGTCAGCGCTAAGATTCATAAACGTACCTCTCCAGGCCCTATAAGTTCGGTGACAATGTTGGGAACGACCATGATTATTATCAACGATTTACGCATTGCAGTTGAACTCCTCGACAAGAAGTCGGGAATTTTCTCTGATAGGCCCATTCTCGTATTTGGTGGCATTATGTACGTTCGACATTTAACCGTTGCTGAACCCTCAATTGATTGGCCTTCAGGGTTGGATGGGACCAATGCCTTGCCTTGCTTCGCTATGGCCAGCGACATCGGATGATTCGAAAGACGCTACACCATACCATTGGCACGAATGAAGCAATGCGCAAGTATTATGTTCAGGAGGAGACTGAAGTCCGTCGCTTCCTCTACAAGACGATGCGTGATCCATCGAATCTCTCAGAGAATATTCGAAAGTTAGTCTACTGCAAGCGATCTGGATAAATCTTCTTACTGACAGGTGATCTACATCAAGTGTGACTGGTGCACTTATTCTCTCAATCTCCCACGGTTACCAGATCGAACATGAGAAGTCCGATCCGATGGTACAGCTCGGTGAAGAAGCTCTGGTTCAGTTCTCACTCGCTGCGCAAGCTGGTACTTGGCTAGTCGATGTGCTTCCTTTCCGTGAGTTGCAGTGACTAGTATCTTGGCTCCTCACATCTCACGAATCGTTGCCCAGTACGTTTTCTCCCGGATTGGTTACCTGGAATGACCTTCAAGCGTACCGCGGAGAGGTTCGCTCATGTCGCGTCTGCGCTTATTGAGAAGCCTCATGCTTTCACTAAGCAGCAGATGGCGCGTGGTGTTGCTCGACCATCACTCACCCAGCAGCTTCTCGATGAACATAAGAACGCACCAACTCCTGAAGAGGAATACATCATTAAGTGGTCTGCAGCAGCTATCTACGGCGGTGGCGCAGACACCACTGTTGGTGCGACCTATGGATTTTTCCTTACAATGATGCAATATCCGGAAATTCAGCGTGCAGCGCAGGCAGAGATTGACGCTGTCGTTGGACCGGACCGCCTCCCGACGTTTGCTGACCGCGAAAACCTACCTTATGTTAATGCGCTCGTTATGGAGACACTGCGTTACTGCAAAGTTGTGCCAATGGGTCTTCCACACGTCGGTACGGAAGACTGCGTGTACGAAGGGCATTACATCCCGAAGGGTGCTTTGATTTTGGTGAACATATGGCAGATCCTGCACGATCCTGAAAGGTACAAGGACCCACACGTGTTCCGTCCTGAGCGCTTCCTCGGCGACCACCCTGAACCAGATTCGCATAATATCACTTTTGGATTCGGTCGTCGAGTTTGCCCTGGTAAGGAACTCGCGGATCATACGCTATTCCTCACGATCGCAATGTCGCTTGCAGTCTTCAACGTTTCATGGCCGCTTGATGCAGATGGCAAACCGGTCGTGCAGCCCGGTACCTACATACCCGGACTCATCACTAAACCTATTGACTATTCTGCGCGTATAACACCGCGCTCTGCGAAAGCTGAGGCTCTGATCAACAGTATCACGTTTGATCATCCGTTCGAGAAGGGCGATTCGGACGCTGTTGAGGGACTGCACTGGACCAAGCAACCTTCGCCGTTCCCGCCCACCTATTGATCGTTCGTCTTCGTTGACTGTGGAAGGAATTCATATATCAACTTATAATTCTCGCCTATTATATCCGTTTAGTTGTGTTTGTTTAACCGAAACCCTTAAACTCCTGGTATTCTGCTTAAAACCAACCGACAATTTCAGTCTGTTTGTCTGAGATTCGGTTTTTCCGTCCGCGTACATTCATTGAAATCAATTCCACATTTCTTTTACCAATCAACTATCGCAATATGTGTTTGATCGAAATAATCAACTGTATGAAACAGAGAGTACATTACATCGGACGACAGCCGGATGTTTCTACTTAGCACAAAATTGACAAGCACCAGGTCTGCCCTTTAAAGCTTTCTGACACGGTGTAACCTCATCATCCCCAAACCAAGACAACATGCATCAGCATAAATCATTCACTGCTTGGTCCTAGAGAATGAGGAGCAACCGGCATTGTAAGAACGGTGTTCAGTCTCCCGAGACACAAGCAGATGTACGCACTTCTTAAACTGGACAGCAGCGAAGGGTACTGCAAACGCAAAGCCCATGAACCCAGCCGACTTTGCGATGAACGTCTTTTTCTTCTCGTATTTGAACGGGAAGTTCTGTGTTGAGACTCGATGAGTTGGTGTACGACAGAACCGTGTGAATCGGCGTCGTCTTGTAGACGACGTCCACTTACGTTGTTGATGGTGTTGTCAACATGCAACCCACGAACTTGCTGCGTTGTGCGCGGGACCAAGCGGGCAGCACGGGCGAACAGCATTTTTGGTTACTGGATTGGAGATAGGAGAAAACTGAACTGAGGGACTCTGCGTGTATTAGTAGTGGTGATGAGGAGCTCTTTACTGCTTAGGGGCACAATACATTAACTTATATACGTGTCGGGTAATAGATACTCATGTGGTCTCGAGTGAATTGCAGAAGTTGCTATAGTGCTTTCATAAAACTTCCTCTTTTGGATACCAGAATGCAGCTGACCATTTTGATCGGCATCCCCTTTTGGATGGCAGTCTGGTGAAGTACCAACAATCACTCGTGCCCAAACATTTACTTTTGAGACGTAGAGCAAGGCAGTGCCAATTGTGCCACCCTGGTGGATACAACTTCTCTGGGGAAAAAGATTCTTGCGTAAAACCACACAAAAACGCACCATGTACCAGCAGTAACAAGGTACGTACGATACGAAATTTGCTTCCACGACAACATTTATAATCTTGTTACAGAGAACATCTACCACAGATGAATCATAGCGTAATTACTCAGGTCTTATCCTGTATGATGCAAGGAATATTGAAGATCCGGAATAGTCAAAGGATTGGAAGGGTATGAGTATGCCGTCCGTGAGACGAGAAACAGAAATAGCGTTCAACGAGAAAACAAAAGAATGAAGGCAAACGAATAAACATATAAAAACAAAGAACCCGACCGTCAAACAAACATGCGGTGCACGTTTAGTACCCTGATGGACGTGAATGTGACTTGGAAGTATCATAAGCGCGGATCAAGCGGGCTTGATCTTGCTTCGCGGGGTCCTCTGTCTGAGAGAAAGCAAAACCGCGATTCCGACGCATGCGCTGCACCGCACGTACTTTCTTGATCGCCTTCTGGAACCTATAAAACCACTGTCAGCGATATTGACCTGAAACCTAGACATGGAAGCCGCGTACTGTTCTTGTCGTGGTCGATAATCTGGGATGTTGTATTTCTGCAACTCTTGGGCGATATGGTACGACAACGGCATGTACGTCCGTCGGTAACTGCACAGTAATAAGTACAACTTGATCGTCATCCTAAAAAATTCGCCAGAGACTTACTATTTCCATACGAAATCGCGAGCAAGGCAGACCACGGGGACAAGAATAAGCATAAAGTAGAATACTGCATCGGTCCATAATCTAGGAACGATCCCCTCGTATTCTCGCGAAAACCCGATAATAGGAGTAACGACAGCGTAGACCGGAAGGAAAAGCATTGTGAAGATGAAGGATCCTGGGATTGCCGCGGCAGTGTATTTAGTCCAGATGCTATTTCCAATGATCAATCAGGTTTCGAATGACATAGTATACAATAACCACGTACTCGGAGACCAGTCCAGCCTTTCCCAACACGGTTAATAACGTTGCAAGATACAAGGTCGTTCCCCAAAACCAGAGTCCACAATCCAGACCCGTGCTTTGCTTCAGATCGCCCCAAAACAGAACGATAGAGAATGCAAAGAGTACCAAACTGTGATAGAACGCATTCGCGACCCATTGCCAGAACGCAATCTTCGTGAAAAACGTGTTCTGCTGACCAAGAACGTAGAGTTGGGGATATCTGTCCAGGACGCGTGCAGAAACGAACTGATCGAAGATACCAATGACTAGGGGCGGGAGTACGGTGAAGAGCACGTTATAAAGAGAGAAGGTCCATGATTCAAACGACACCTGGCCAGAGAAATTGTTGAAGAAAGAGAACTAGGAGTGTATGAGCATTGTCGGACTACGACCACAACGGCATTATAAGCTCACCCAAAACTGCGTCATGTATAAAGTAATATTCTTATAGAAAGAATCTTCGATTATAAAAGTCAGCAAGCAACAACACGAAGCTAATGAGTAACTTACAGAGAATGAGCTTTGATAGACGTCGATAACTCCATGCTCCATGCACCAGTAACAATTTCTTCAGATACCGGAATTGTGAAATTGCAACATCTGATGATCTCGCCGCTTGCAAACCCTGCAGAGATAGATTAAAGAGAATTTTAATCGCGCTTAGATTATCACATACCTCAACACCCGAAATGCCCACTCCAACATGAGCCGCTTGAATCATGCTAACATCATTCGCACCGTCACCAATGGCTAAGAGTATAGCTTTCTGATTCTTCTTGACGAGCTTCACTACAAGCGCCTTCTGGAGCGGAGACACTCGACCTGAGAATGGTAAGACAAATTTGAGTTTGGCCGGCTGAGGGTACACAAACGAAGTACTTACAGCAAATTACGGCTTTGCACATAATTGCAAGCTCTAGGAATGTCTTTGAGAGATCCTTTTCCAGTGCAAAAGTAAGGCTTTTGCCGTCTTAGCCGGTCTTCAGCAACATTACATACAGTTAGTGTCATAACACGAACCAATGACGAGAGCTAGATCCTCAAGTTCGCCCGACTTCCGCTGATTTGAGATAGCACTCAGCCGTTTAGACAAGAATTCCTTCGTTGCAAGTGCGGATTCCTCATTTACAATCACCAAGTTCATCGATTCAGAGATCAGACGGCAACTCAGACCGATGTTAATTGCGGTCTCTTGTCGGTCCCCTGTAAGCACCCAAACCTTGATACCGGCCATCTGCAATGTGTGGATTGTGTCAGGAACGCCTTCCTGCAGCTTGTCCTCAATGGCAGTCGCGCCAAGCAAGAAAAGGTCTTTCTCGATGATTTCTGCTGCTGCATCCAGAGCTTCCCCACGACCGTTTATTGTTGCCGCCGCTTGATCATATATTTTTGACCACTCGCGATACTCTGCTTCGGAGATGTCCCTTGACGAGATGCAAAGTGTGCGCAGCCCTTCCGTTGCGTAGTCCTAACCGACACATCATATACCAGTCTCATCCTATTGATCTAAATTAAATTCAACGCACCTCTAGATGAGAAAGCGTTTTCTCGACATATGGTTGATTCTTGCCCAGTCGCTCAAGAATTACAGTGTCTGCACCCTTGCAATACAGTTTGATCTGGCCTTCTGGTGTACGGACAATCGTAGACATGCGCTTCCGAGTTGAGTTGAATTCACAGACGTTCAAGATCTCGAACTCCCGAGACACGACATCAATGTTGACGAAAACCGATCTAGGTTTACGAGTCTAACAAATATAGACGTCAGCATGTTTCATCATTAATAAGGAACAGGCAACTTACATGAAATTGGTAACCAAGGACTTCAGCACCTGCGACCAATGCCGCCTCATCTGGACTGCTTGCTTGATATACCAACTTTCCTCCTTCTTTCACTTCTGGAATAACTGTGTGGCAAACTGCAAGCAGCCGAAGAAACTCCTTCGTAACTTGCGCGTCCCGCGCGCTATCGGCTGTCTCGTCCGCGTTAATAAACGGGTTGCCTGCACCACTAGAACGAAGAACGGCGCGAAGTTCGTCAAAGGAGCGCCAGCCCTCCTTGCCTTCTTCATCTGAATCACTGCGCTTGGCATCATCGACTGAGTCTGAGTACGGGACTCCGGCGATAGAACAACAGCGGAACTCCATCTCGTTACGCGTGAGCGTGCCAGTTTTGTCGGAGAATACGTATTCAATCTGCCCAAGCTCCTCAACAAGCGATGAGGTACGACACAACGCCGGCGTATCCGTGACAGGATAATACATGTCGAGGTCCGAGTTAATCAGCTGCGCTTGCTGGAACTTGACCACTTCCATGGTCACGATAAGCGATATAGGAATTAGGTTGTTATAAAGAATAATAAATGTTAAAATATCTGTTAAAATAGAAATTAGGAATGACCCGTTGATAATACGTGAACTACCACGAACCTTCAATAAAGCCTTTCGCTATTAGAATGATCGACCGAGTAAGCAAAACGCAGGCTGAGCATAATGGTCAGGCGCACCTCTGTCAGATATTGTGTTTCCTTCAAGCAGGTACCACTGAGCGCTGGAGAAGAACCACTGATAGACAATCACGTCAACAGCCGTACGCATGGGAAATATTTGAAACCTACCGTTCGAATACTACTTCCAATCGTGCTCCCAATCGACAACGCTAGCAGCAAAATGAAGAGAAGAATAATGTTTATGTTAACTTGACGTTCTACAGCTGTCCGCTTTATAGGAGCAGCGCTAAGCAGAAGGTCAGATTTTGCAGTATTGTAGATCCAACCTTATACTCACGTTGCATTACGCATAAGTTTTGTTTCATGGCCGGTAAAGACGACAAGTCCATATGCCCAGGGTGTATTGCGTAACTGAGCGCCTCGAAGTAGAATCTGATCAGGCCCAAGTGGAACTTGCTTCGGGATACCTTGTTCAGATACCAAGTCGAGTGTGCCTTCGTAGGTGTACAGGGAGTTATTGGGCTGTTCACTACGGAGCGAGCCACGCAGTGAAGTGACTAAGGGCGGCGAGGTCATCTGGGCGGTTAGGGGACTCGCTTGCTTAATTTTGAGATTGGTCTCTCCATCAAGATTTGATGTCTCGATGTAGCAAAGGCCTTCAGGCTCGGAACTCGACAGCAAGATAACATCCGCCGGGATGAAGTCATCGGACTCGAGACGGACAACCTCGCCGACACGAATGTTCTTCCACTTCCGCTGCTCGAATGACCCGTCAGCGCGAAGTACCTTGGCACGTCGTGAGTTGAGTTCCTTGTCGCTCTGATGACGTTTCATATCTTCCTGAGTCTCCTTGAATGCAGAAGCAAGCAAGACAACGGCGAGGGGTGCGATTGTCGTGTATTGGTTCGTAGGCGAGACGCCAGGTATCTGCTGAATGCAGGCGGTGAAGAGGAAGAACAAGTTCGCATATTTGCTGAACTGTTCTGCCAAGAACTTTGGCACAAACGTAACGGCATTGTACTTGCTCGTGCTAACATAGTTCGTGCAGAACTCGCTGTTATGCACATTTGCGAAGTCGTTCAGTGCGACAACACGTTCGCCCTTCAGATCCGTATTGTCCTTCGCCCACGGCCACTTCCACTTTCGTCGTCGTTTTGGTTTCGGTTGACTATCGCCCGGTTTCTGCTTTACACCTGGAAATGATTCGGAACCACTAAATGGCTGTTCGATGGGAATATCGTCATCGAAATTCCAACCCTGCGGCCGTCCAGAGCCAGGAAGAGTCACCTTTGAGTGACCAGCGGGTGCAGCAGCAGTGTTCCGTAGCGGTAGATGCGACTCGGTACTCTGCATTGGTATCGGCCGTCCAAATGCACTGTCGGGCATGTCGTCTTCATCATCAAAGAATGGGTCAAGCTGCTGCGGTGAGTGTGAGGGAGGGTAGCCGCCATTAGCAGGCTGGTATTGGCGTGCAGCCGGGTTGGCAGACGAAACTAGGCGGGCAAAGTCATCGCCATTCATCTTGAAAGGTCGTCGCAGACGAGGGGGGAAGACGTCGAGCACACGCTCGGCAAGTGAACTCGACGGTGTACAGTGCAGTAGCGAACGGCGACGGCGACGATGCGAGCGTCGTATTCTCACTCACGTGACTTACACCGCTTACATCTTCACAAATACGAACAAATAAATAATTTAAAGCAGCTCGTCTTTCCACAGGTCAACCTCTTCGGGATGCCAACGGTCGACTGACATCGGTTGCTCATACAGAAACAGCTGCATATACCGGGAAGGGAGTCTCATAGGGATTATTGAAACAGGAAAAAAAAATCGAAGTATTGCGCTCCACTAAAAACATCGGACTGCTACGCTACGAACTGCTAGTGCGCACATTCTTATCTGCATTCGAGAGTCGTTCAGAGTCGTGACCCGGGTCATCGTGACCGTCATTTCCATTGCTAGTCGTCATCGGCTTGTGGTCGAGCGGTTGCGTCGTTTGCCTCCGGCTCTCACGTTGCTCGCGTTCCACCTCTTCAAGCACTTTATCATCGTAATTACCACCACAGCACCCTCGACATCCTCCACCACGCGTCAAAGGTTCTACAATGCGCGTTAAGTAATCCAATAAAAGTGAAATAGGAATTCACGCGTACTCATCATACACAGGTTATAGCACAACTCGGAAACTTGAATGCAAGTGTGTAAGCGAAAAAAAGAACAACCTAACTTGTCTAGGAAAAATGATACTCACAGAGTGAATCGGACATATCGTCTTGATGTAGTTGAAAGTTTTGGGTGAGAAGAGAAACGTGCGGTTCAGTGCTTCGAGCTGCACGGGCCCCGAAGTGAGACGAAGGCACCGGCGTGCGTCCTCCGCGTGTAAGTTTACTATCATGATGGTCGCTACTTCTTTTCACTCGTCCAGCGAGGCAGTGTGCCATCACGATATCATTGTTCTCTAGCGGTGACCGTCAAGTACTTTATTCTTCGTGTTATACTTGACAAGATGGCTCCTTCACAGCTTCGCGAAGAAACTGGGATCGGAAATACTCCTTACCACGTTTGCTGAAGGCCACGACCTTGTTCCAGTAAATGCCGAGTCAATCATCTCTTAGGATTGAAACTTCTGTTGCGGTTGCAGGACCACAGGCTTTCACGTTTACACTCCACATAGGTGATTCCGGTAGGAAATATTGATCTAAAAACAGATTTTCAGGTAATGACCTAAAATGCTAATGTCGCGACGATAACACACTCTAACTGCGATGCATACAATCGGATCGGATCATCGGTTGTGGATTATGGCCAGAATCTCGGACGAACGAACCGAGTATTTCTGGACAAATTCCACTTTGCCGCCGGAGTGGGATGTACTGTACCTGTCACTCCGTAAGCTGTTCCTATCATTTCGCCGAATGCTTTCGATCGCCGTGTATTTCAACATGTCCCTGTTTAAAACTGTTCAACTCGACCCTGTGTGTGATCCAGCTCTGCAGACGTCTTCTGAACATACAGTATATGATTGAGTTCGGATTTGGGGAACTCGTACTTACATCATCGGCTCCTGCAATCTGTATACCGGGCCTCGACTGGAATAGCACGCTCGTTTGTCTGTCATCGCAAGAAAAGTGAGTCCTTTTGTTCGATACCGCTTATCAAAAGTAAAATTCTGATCATTCTGGATGTTTCCAGCCGTACTGGATAGGGATATTCTCCTCCCAACCTGAACCACTGTCAGCATGGTATAACCTGGAAGCTGTACCTGTCGCCTGCGTTATCCCCTTGCTCGTCGCTAGTACGACTCTATCGGAACCTTGCATGTACCTTCCTCCCGACTTTTCCCACCCTTGCTTCTCATCAGTAAGATTTTGCATTGGAGCATACACACGTCCTATTCCGATGTTGGACTTCTACAGGGACCGTATCGCTCGGCATCGACTTCCAGGCCCTGTAGTCGCCGTTTTCAAAGCACCATCTTCAGAAGCCTTCACGGTGCCGACACTAAATTAGCAGCAACATATTGTATATAAGGACAACGCTGGCAAATGGCTTCATTAGCTCTACACCGACGTCTCGCCACTTGAAGCATTAACAGCAATATCCTCTATTCCTCACCATGATTGTACCTCTTACTGCTGCACTCACGGCTTTCTCCTTGCTCATCATATCATTTGTGCAAGCCGCACCAAACCACGTAGTAATCGAACGTCAGGACACAGCCCACCCAGTCTGTTCATTCACGCTTCCGGCGGGTGTACAAAATGTCACTGGAAGAAGCGGAACTTCCTTGGCTGTTGACGTTGAGCCTTGTCCCTTTGGACAACGTTGTGCACCACCTATTTATTCGCCAACGACCAGTGACTTCTATTTTGACATTGGTGTAAGGACCGGTTCTTCTCTGCAATCCGCATAGATTACTGACTTCTTAACTATGGCCGGTTAGGTATGCGCATGAAAAGAGAACGTTTCGAATCTCCCGAGGCAATGACCAGTAATGAAATTAAGCCCTTAGTTCACGTTCTACAGGCAGGCGACTACTTAAAGTATAATTTCGTTACATAGTAAACCGGTTCTTGCTTCAGGTTGCCGCCCATCTCCATTCTGTTGTCGTGTTTTGTTTGTTATGCAGGATTACATGCTGTTTGGTGGAATACTATAGACTATAGCCTGCGAATTATACGTATCCATTTATATTCACACCATTCTGATGAGCTAAGCACAGAACATCTCAGAACAGCTGAGCTTGCAAAGTCAAGTTATTTGGTGCTGGCAATCCCATTATATCTTTTATACCCGACTTAACAGCATGATCAGGCAGTAACCATCACCACGTCAATATTCAATAAAAATTTACATATACCTCAACCTGAGACGGAACCTTGCCGTGCATATTGCGAAAAATTTCACTCGATGTGTTCCGTGGGCGACGTTGAGCATGGCACAAATTTCGTTTATACTGATTTGGCAATCAGAGGTCGACACAAGTATGGGTCACATCAATAATTATGTCATGATTCATTTGTAAGCAACAAAAGCACTGCAATGCATCTTTTATTCCGACTCAAATTGGGCTTTCTATTCCATATCGTTCACACCCTGCGGCGAATGTTGATATTTCGGAGCCATGCTTGCCCTGAGAGCGCATATATGAAACAAATGCGAACGGGTTCCTGACTCGGAGTCCGGACTGTATGCCCTGAACAACCGTCTTTGCTTTGCGTCACAGGTGGATGGGATGTCTATGCCTCTTCTGTTGTGAATCTGGTGTCAGCGACAATATCTTTTGGTGATTCCTTTTAGCCTTGCATTTATCAACCCACCCGGAAACTTGTAGTGTTTCTTTTGATGGTTCCACAGGCGTATGTTGAATGACCATTGCTGGACGTTCCACCCCTGAGCGCCGCCATGCATCTTGTTTTGATATTCCTAATACCGGCATGGGCGTATTCTACAGTGTTGGTGCCTAAGGTTAGTGTAAGTTGCGGCCAGGGCAGTCAATGTGTAAACACCACTGCAGATGGTTATGTGAACACCTACATCTTTATAAAAGCAGCAGCAGCTTGGTCTTCAGCCTCAGCAGGATCTCTCGAGCTAGCTTAAATTGCATCATGGTTCTCTCCTTCACGAACATACTCCTTTACACGTCGTTTTCCGCCATGGCGCTTGCAGCAGCGGCCCCGGGTTCTCACCTCCTAGGTCGTGACGATGAGATCCCTGTCGTTTGTTCCCAGTCGCTCTCGAACGGCGTTCAGACAGTCGATGGCCAGAATGGACAACCTTGGACCGTTGACGTTGAGCCTTGCCCCTCTGGGCATCGCTGTGCCAGTCCAATTTTTAATCCCAACACAAATGACTTCTATTTTAATCTCGGGGTAGGATTCGCAGTCCGACTATTTGTAGTACCAGCTAATCCTATACGTGTTTCTAGGACTGCGCTTAAACAGATCGATGGATCCGCTACCGAATCATACAAGACGTGACCAAGGTTAGTATTCGAAGCAGCGTTTTCTTACTACTGCCCAGCTCATTAGCGTTAGTCGTCTTTCAAATGGTCATGTACTTTGCTCGGAAAATTGAGTTTAATCGTGTAGCCAGTTGCATCACATGAATAGTATAATTATGATTACCAAATAGTTATTCATTTGCAGTGCGTAATTGTCTGAAAATTGGATTAAACAATCACATACGCGTTTCCGCCGACCGCCCTACTGACAGTCTTGGAGCAGGCAAAGGCTATCTCCAGAGTAGGCTCGTAATACAATAGCTCGCCGTATGGGTAAACTGAGACAACATGCACCACTTACGTTAGACCAGACAGTTCTTTTCTTCAGGAGTAATCCTCTTTCGAGCTCACGCACATATAACATGTACTATGCCCATTTCATCAACATTATATAGTTCTCATGTGCCTCGGCCCGAGACGGAAGTACATGCTGCAATATTTTTTCGTTCAATGCGTTACATATGTGAAGGTACACGACTGGCTGAGTGAAGAGCAGGTTTGGTTTCAAACTAATTTAGTCTTCCGCGATCATGGTCAGCTTCTGCATCGATAGCTATGTCATTCATTAAAGTACAGCGGAACCTCCCTGTATCGAATACATCTGGTCCGAGACAATATTAATAGCCGCACGTCTCGGAGCCACACGTGCTCAACAGGAACAATATGCCGCGTGCCTGGAACGTTCCTGACTCGGACTTAAAATGCAGTGAGCAATCGTCACTGCTTTGTGTCATAGCTTGAGATCGACGGATACACCTCTCCTGTTTTGTCACTCTGATGTTAGGTTAGGGATTATGTCCATCGCTAGCTATCCTGTCTCTTGTCTGGACCAGAAACTTAGAGTCGTTCTTTCCTCACTCAATGATCCACTGATCGTTTCCTAATGACGAATACCGGATGTTCCATCCCTTTACGTCTTCGTATGTCTTGTCTTGACGTTCCCGATGCCGTATGGTCGGCATTCTAGGTATCAGTACCTACAGTCAGCGCACGCTGCTCCGATGGTGGCCAACATACAAGCATCACTCTAGACGATTACTCGGGCATCCGAAAATATATAAGAACATCAGTAACTTCTTCACTATCAACTCCATCAGCACCTTCTCAACTATCTTACACATTCCGATCTTCTACAACATCTACAATGTTCTCATTCGCAGAGATCCTCGTGTCCGTATCCTTGTCCGCCATGGCACTTGCTGCAGCAACTCCAGGCTCTGTCCTCACAGGACGTGATGCAGGCGTCCCAATCGTCTGCTCCCCCTCACTTTCGAATGGTGTCCAGACCGTCAACGGACAGAACGGAAAGCCTTGGAAAGTCGACGTTGAGCCGTGCGCCTCTGGACATCGTTGCGGAGCTCCGCGCTACAACCCTGACACCAACGACTTCTACTTGAACCTCGGGGTAAGTTTACGTGATTTAATAACCTAATTCTGCGTTTAAAGCGATTCTCTACTTTTTAGAACTGCGTATAAATCCAACGCACACTTTATGTATATATGTGCAATAGAATCAGAGTAAGTTTTCGATTTTATTCCCTAGATACTAATTATCTCATTACCGCCATCGTCTAGCAGATTTTTGTGGAAGGATTTTAGTTGTGCAGACCATCGCGACTCATAATACTGTAGCATACTTAAGACTTGGCGATTACCTAATAGTGACCTCAGTGCCTTTATTGTATTTACATCGAGTATAATTTTAAAAATGCATCTTTCTCGGCTGATTGTAGAATATCTATAGGAAAAGGTCAAGGATATAACCGGAGCGGAATCCTGCAGTTAAGTCTTTCAAACTCATACATGCGTGCATACAGCACCAATCGTCGGTTGCATACAAATTCTACGGTTCATGAGAATGTATTTGCTGTCTCGAACGGTAACTTATTCATTGGAAGTTACGGGATGGCACAGACCTTGTCAGAGGACGAATTTGATCAAGTAGGAATGTACAGTATCTTATACGCGTTCCGACAATACTGAATTTTAATTTTTTGTACCACTCTCAACCAGACCTAGAGTATATAGCGCAGCATGCGCTGGAACAATAGTAAATTAATAATACTAATCAAGATAACAAATAACTACATTATTCAAATCCCGTGTCTCATAATATATAGCCCCACTATAAAACTCCACACTAAGGCTATAAGTAGCCGGTTGACTATCAACGACGTTCTCATCTATCACGCGAACAGCCACATCCTTGTCAGGTACGAACGTAGCAAGAGTCCTCGCAAACTTCTTCTCATGATTCCTATCGTCATGGAACGCAAGTACCGTCGAGCCAGCCTGAGATGGTGGAGTCATGACGCTATACGTACTATACTGCGCATCAAACTCAGTATACCTCGATCGTCCAAGTGGCGTGAATACCGGCCGTTGTGCATTCAGCGTACGAGATAAATCCGAGTTATCGAGTTCAAACTTGAAGAACTCTGCTACAGGAAAGTCACAGCAGTTCTGCTCATTATATATATCTCCAAGCACCGTAACTATAACATCACGTCTCCGAGATTCTTCCTGCCAGTGGAACTTGCATATAGAAAGCTGTGCTCGTCCTATAAGCCAATATGCAGGAGGCGTTATGCGGCAATACGTTACAGGCGCTTCTGATAGTTTAATGGACGATGTTGTTGTCTCACGCAGAAACGCGATTGGGATAGCGACAAGTGCGTTCCCTTCATATGAGCCGGTGACGCCTACAATATAGTCATCGACGATCTCCATTGCGTCGAAGATGCCCTAGCGAACAATAAGAAAAATCCGTCTGTACGTACACAAAACCGAATCTCACCTCTGTAATCACCACGGATCGACCTTCCATCCAGAAGGAGATGATCGCATTTCCTTCAGTGTAGGCCACTGCAACGTCGCCACTTAACTTTGCAAAACAAGGAATGCCATGAAACACGTCAAGCTCGATTGGACTTGCTTCAAATAGCACGTTGAGGGATTTTGACGAAGGAGAAAACTTCAGAATCTCCAACTGCCTGTAATTTACATACATGAACATGTGGCACTATCCGAGATTCGCATCATGAGGATTACCTTTGTTCATTGTTGGGTGTCTCGCTCACCACTACAAAGTGCACGTCGCCGTTCGCTTGTACATCACACGCGAAACAATGCTTTGACGGGACCTCGTCGTTCAGCTCGAGTGGATCTTGAGGTAGGTCAGGATAGGTCCAAAGGCATTCCGCGGTCTCTACTTCCCAGAATTGCAAGTATCCGGCCGGCCATTTCATAAGGAAATACTGTCCTCCGGGCAGAAGTAACGTATCGGCTCCCCAGCCGGATGGTTCTCCTAAGATTCCGTTGACGTTCTTCTGACCAATAGGGATGACAATTCTCCGCGAGACCCGAAGTGGAGACGTGCTGGTATAGTTGAGAACGCGTCGCCTTGCTCGAACAACCAAGCTTCGCAGATCGGGATATTGTAGCGAAGCAATGAGGATATGCGGTGGTAAGTCAGGAGCATGTACTTGGTCGAGATCTTGTAGGAGCTTCAGCCACAGTAGACGACTTGAGACGAGGTCGCGGAAGAAATGACATGTCTTTAGGAGTCAGCAAATCGCGATCACCCTCTCAAAAGGCGCGTCAGCTCACCTGTTCGACCATCAATACGTCTTCTGGGCTACAGTATCGCAGAATTTCATGCCATATTTCGATTGGGATTTCCGTTGCTTTTGACATTAGTGAGGAATGAGTCATCGAGTGCCTGGTATGTCGCTAGCACTGGGTGTATGGTCGGTATTTACGACTTCGCTTTGCACATCGCCATAGCAAAGGTGGGCGCAAAGATAAGGCATGTTAACCAATTCTTCGAAATGAAGGACCAACAACGCCTGTCGTCTGCTTCTGTTGTACGTGAAACCGATCATATACGGAGAACTGCCCTGCGCCACGGGTGATGGCCGAGCACAGTCCATCCCAGTCCACGAGTCTAAAGTACAGCGCATGCGAGACACCACCTAGAGTTGATGCTTACGCGTAGGAGAGTCTTCGGTGGTGCGATGAGGAATATACAGATTCCTGTAGTTAGCAAAAATGTTCGTGCGGGATATACACATGGGTGGTAACAATCAATGTTCTCTCGCGTGTGTACGGCTCATAGCCAAGTATCATGATAAATACACCGGAAACGATGTGTGATGTACTAGCAGACATGCGTTGAGGCAGCACTAAGTAGCAGAGATTAGATAATAAGATATGAGATTAGTCAGTCAGTATTCCGCTGCTCCGCATTTATTCACATTCACACTTTCTGCTTCGGACTTTGCTCTCCCGCGTGTCCGCCTCCCACACACCCTGTCCTCTCCCATCACCCCCACTCCTCCTCGTCCACGATGAGCGCACAAGGGCCGCCTGAAGACTACCAGTTCCCACACGATAGGCTAGTCCGCACTCTTAGGAATCCTGCAAAGGAGCCCGTTGTGCTCGTCGCCTGTGGATCGTTCTCGCCAGTCACTTATCTACATCTCCGGATGTTCGAGATGGCTGTCGACTACGTCCGCCAGAACACCAACTTTGAGATTATGGGCGGGTACCTCAGTCCTGTCAGTGACATGTATAAGAAACCGGGGCTGCTCAGCGCAGAGCATCGGTGAGCACACATACCCGTCTCAGCACGCCTCCATTGCGCAATCTCACGCACACTGCTTCGGCGCGCGCGCAGAGTTACTATGTGCAATATAGCCGCGACTTTGGAATCTTCATGGATAATGGTCGACCCGTGGGAGGCATTCCAAGCCTATCAGCGTACAGCGGTCGTGCTCGATCATTTCGACTACGAAATAAACGAGGTCCTCGGAGGTGTGGAGACTGAGGATGGGGAACGGCGGCGCGTCCACGTTATGCTCCTCGCTGGTTCAGACCTTATCAGTACTATGTCGGAGCCGGGTGTCTGGTCGGAGGAAGATGTGAGTATGCCATTCATTCGCGGCAAGAATTGCCACTATCATGGGATTTCCGGGTTCACGAAGGTTGTCCGGACAGTCAGCCGTTGTAATGGACGGTCACCTGAGACGCCCGCCGGAATCTTCTGCATATCTATCATCCCGTATGAACCTTGCTGATTGGCTGCTTCGTTTCCTTCCAGCTCGATCACATCCTTGGGCGCTACGGTTGTTTCATCATCGAGCGCGCTGGATCGGACATTGCACAAGCAACCGATGCTCTCGCCAAATGGCGACACAACATCTATTTTGTCTCTCAAATGATCCAAAATGACGTTTCGTCGACTAAAGTGCGGCTCTTCCTTCGCCGCGGCCTTTCCGTACGCTATCTCCTCCCTACGCCCGTCATCGAATATATCGAACAGAATGGGCTTTATCTCGACGATGGCCCTAACCACACCAACGCCCATTATCGACAACAAATCTACCGTGATTGTGAAAAGCCATCGTCATCATCATCATCATCATCAACAACTTCGCAGTCTACTGCTATGTCATAGCACCTATTCGTGCTGCCTCGCTTTTGGATCGTTCTGCGTGTTTGCAAGCATCATTTAATAAATCAATCATGGTGAGATACAATGAAGAGAGTTCGGGCAAATAGTATAAATATATGATATAGATAGACTCATCTTGTGCAGCTTCGGCAGTGTACAGACTAATATGTGCAACAATATTTGAATAAGAAGAAATTGGTGATCAATCTGACGCGAACCTGTCTTGCAACTTTGGAGGAGCCTGCGTGGCATCCTTGGTCCAAGTATATGCACCTTAACTTTCAGCAGATAGATCAGAAACTTCTTACACACACTAATTTACTAAACAGTGTAGCTATCTTAGTATCCATACCTTTTAATCCTGATAGCTAATCATGTGAGGTTGTTACTTAAGTCGATGGGAATCAGTAATGCAATTTATTTATAGAACAACAACAGCAGAGATACTAAAAGCTAGGCTACATCTATTACTAAAGGTATTAGGACATTATTCTTGGAAAGAGACTCAATGCAATCACCATACATCGTGCGATAGCGATTCGCCATTAAGTCTTTGATCACCTCATTTTCGTCCGCTAGACCTCGTACAACCTCCATAAATTCTATCGCAAACTTCGTACCAAAAGTGGTATAGCATATGGCACTACGCCTGCACAACAATCGATGTAAAATCCAACGCTCTACACCAAGATTCCACCAAATCAGACACTCGTTCAACAAGTTTCTCATACTCCGGATTCTGCATCCGAATAAACAACCCACAATGTGCTCCAACCTCATCATCAACAGCGCAGATCGGTACACGCTCCCATTGTTCCCTCGAACCAAAGCGGAATGTATCACTGCAAGCATCTCGACGATGAGGGAGAACGATGAAGTGTCGAGCAGGTCGTGCGGTCGATGCTTTGCCTTTACTTTGATCTTGTTCCTTGGCTCGTTCTTTTCGTAAAGCCTTTCCCGCTGCTTTTCGCTGTTTTGCAGAGGCGTGGTCGGAGGCTTTCTCGCCTGCGTTTGCTATGAGCGCGAAATCGGCTGTGTTGTTCGGAAGTGCACCAGAGAATGTGTTAGCTTCCCCTCCACTGTCATCAGGATTTTCTTGATCAGCATCGCTCTCCTTATCTATCCCACGCGATGGAACCTCCGTCCAAAAGTTAACCCAATTTCCCTTCCAGCGCTCCAATGCCATATATCGTTCACGAAGACCCGGAGGGTCAAACATACAAACTCCGAATTCAAAATGCTCGATAATCCACTTCGACATGGCGTTAAGTGGATCATCCGCGTGTTTGCGGAGCCATCGCAGGAACGGAGAGTCAGCATGTTGTACAAGGCGATTCGTCGCTCGCTCCAACTTGACTGTGAGGGACGAAGAGAGAGGGGGAATTCGTGAGGAGATGTATGAACTTGAGGTGGATGCGAATGAAGAGACGAAGGATTTAGCGGGGGACTGTGGGCTTGGTGTAGGGGAGTGCGTGGATAGATCATCCTGTGATCGACTGATCGGAGCTATTTCTTCTCGTCAAATAGAGTGTGGCAAGAGATGGCCATAGGACTCACATTTGAGTGTTGATTTCATTGCTTCCCAGTCTCCATCTATTTGGGTCGTGCTGAGAGACGAACTCGAATGTGTTAGCTGCGCACGCGACGAATGGGATGAGTTGTCGAGCGGGCTTGAGTCTATGAACAATGAGGTTAAATTTTATAACATGAGTTTGAGCGATTACAGGGGCGGAAAAGGGCGAATCCATTGCGATATCAGAATGGGAGAAGACATACATACCACTGAGAGAATTTCCTCCTGCTGCCGCATTCTCCACATCATCAAGGTGGACTCGCTTAATGACATTCCCGTCGTTAAGCTCCGATTCACTTCTCACACTAGCTCCCTTGCTCTTCGGCAAGAGCGACGCAATGCCACTGATAATGACGTGAGGATGCATGCCAAGAAACGGTACATCGAATGCAACCAGACCAACGACCCGAGCAGACTGCGAAGAACTTCCTGTCGCCACTTCTGCCGCTAATAAACCACCCAGTGAATGCGCCAGGAGTATTACAGGTCCGGGGGGTTGTGTACTTAGCCAGCTGACGAAATTCTCTGCTGCTTCTGATATTGGCCTCCGGCTCTTGTAAGTTGGATACAAGCAGCTTTCGAGGACAAAGCCGGATGGTAACCGTGTTCGAAGACGTTCATGTAGATCGGTGGGGAAAGACTGTCCATGCTTAGAGCTTTAGCATATATTTCCAGTGTAATCGATAATTTACTAGTTATGCTGACCTGAAATGAAGTATGATCGCCTAAAGCATGTGTGAAGTTAGAATTCGATGTCTTGATCTATCCACTGTACCTTGAAATCCGTGGATATATATGAGACGGAGAGTAGTCTTTCCCGTCATCTCTGGTGCCGAAATAGATGGCGTCGGGAGGCAATTTAGTGAGCAGTGGGAATTGCACATCTATTGAATCTTTCCCCTTGACATACACAGCGTGACAGACGTGGATGTGATGTGTCACAGCAACAGATGACGAAATAAATTTACTGTACTTACTTAACTTAGTAGATGTATGTATGGGTACCGAAAGTCAAGTCCAAACTGAGGGAACGTGACAACCTCAGCGTGTCGCGTATACATAATTGTTACCTTTCCTTTTCCTGTTACCCCCACCACTAACTTGTTTACAGTTGTTAATTTTGCACGTTTTTTAGCTAGTGGATGTCCTCTACGCCACCGGTAGAGGGTGAAACACAACGACATAGCCCGGAGCATAGCTCCATGACCGTTGACCCGGTCCAACACACCAGCCAGTCCCCAGAGGACCTATACGTTAACCACATTTTCTGCTGCCTGTGTCAGACGACTTTCTCGTCCGACCTCTTCAACACTCACCCGGCGAAACACGCCAACTGCGACCTATACTGCCCATACTGCAGTATCCCAACGAAACACCGCGGTCTCAAGGCCCTTTGCCAACACACGAACGATTCCCATAAGAACATCGTTGACACCCACTTACATTGCATTCTGTGCAATAAGTTCTACCCTACAGATATTGTCACCCACATTTACGAAAACCACTGGAACCTGGAAGTTGCAGCCATTCACTGTGCAACCCTCTCAATTACACTCTCACCAGAGCTAACACCTCTCCCAGACAACCAAATGGCACCAAATGCCTTAGCACTAAGGAGGGCGACGTCCTCCCCCTTGCTTCACCTGCCACAACACTCAGGCCTCAAGGAAAGCATTCATGCACCTTGTGTTACTGACCCTTCACAAATGGAAACTTCTGCACCCTCCTCTCCTCTCTCTTCCATAGCTTCCTTTGCACAATTGCTGCCTACCACACCTACATACACACTCTCTCCATTTGATTCTAACAAGGGAATGGAAGGATACAACCTATACCTCTTAGGTTACACACCTGACCCAAATGTATGTGTTGCTGACTCACAGTATACACAAGCCCAAATTGATATGGACAACTTGCTCATATTTCAACAAGTCAACCAACACTCCCTACTCTTGCTCAACATAGTAAAAGCTGCCTTGAAAGACTATACTACTATCCAAGCAGTTTATATTACTAACCTGTACTCCCTCCTTTTCACTCTTACAGGCAAAATGTCTGGTTACAGTGACACTCTTCTCCAACTTGCAAAGTCACTAGAGGGAGAGAACCTTACACTGCTCAGATCCACACTTGCCAAAGTGTTCTAGTACAGACAAGATTCTGTAGTTGCTAACATGATTGAACCCTACTATCAGACACTAGTGTCAAACACCCTCTAACTAAGCAAACAAGTGAACCTTGTAGCTAACAGTGTTAACCACCTAATTAAGGAAATGGACAACCTTAAGAAGGCTACCAAACTCACACAACAGACAGCAGACTAAGCTTTACACACATGCTTCCAAGTATCAGAAACACTAGAGGACTTACAATATCCTCCCCTCCCTCCTTACAATCAGACTAACTCATAGCCTACAGTACTGTAACTATGTGTCCCTCAGACCAATGTGTGGACAGTTGCTAATCACAACCAGAAAGTGAAACACTAGGACAAAAACCTCTCTAGAGTGGCTACTATACATGATAGTGTGTCAGACATTCTGGAAGACATCCCTCTCACAGATATACAGAAAACTGACACCCCTAAACAGATCACTACTAACTGCCTGTCTACTAACCCTGATAAGATCTTAGTCTTTAAAGTTGAAGACTGGTCTTGCATCCTCAACAAGGGTAACAAGATGCTTACTAGGATCATCCAGAAAATCCTCTACTAAGCTCCCAAATTCACACTAATCAAAGTTTACCAGGTGTATGTCAACACTAAAAACAATTTGGTCATCAAGATCAAAAAAGACAGATATGTGTTGAAACACACTAAGGAGATTACTAACCACCTTTCTCATTACTTACAGTGTGTGGTCCAAAACCTTACCTACTATCCAGTTATGAGTGTCCAACTTCCTAGTCTAATACACTAACCCTGACAACCTCCTCAAGGACCTGATAGATAATCTTGAGATTCAATTCAAGCTTAACTAATCCTCCTAATACTAGGAGATGTTCTCTTCCTTCAAACTACTAACCAACCTACTGTTTACAGTATACTCTAACTAACTCAAAAACATGAAAACAGTAAGCATCCTTCTCCAATTCAAACTTACAGACAACAACAAACTCACATAGTGTAAGAAGATCTTCAGACAACAAGGTAGAGCATACATGTACCTAGACAGTATTTGTCTTTACATATATGAAAAACTCCAACCCTTACACACTAGGCAGTATACTAAATACTAACATTTCAACTACTATGTGACTGTATACTACAATACTTAAGTCTGCCAAATGTGTAGTGATCTAAACCATTCTGAGAACACTCATGACAGACTCAAAAAATCCAACAAACCCAACTGTGCAAATTGCTCAGGAGAACACCCTACTGACTCTCTTACATGCTCACATTACCCTACTCAGAACAATAATACATAAGTAGTAACAACTAACAGCCTTCAGATAAATGTACACAGAAACAGAAATTCTCTTCTTCTTCTCTTTATCCTTCTTCTTCTTCTTCTTTGACTCCTTCTACACCCCCTTCCAAGTAACTATACTCTCCTTAAACTTTCCTAAAACAGAAGAGATTGTCTTTGTCTAACAACAAAACATTAGTAAAGAGGATGTCTGATATAAACAGGATTTTTAATTCTACCAGTCAATTGCCTGTTCTGCAACCTGAGTAAGACATTGTCTCCACTTTTTTTTGAACAGGCAATTGACTAGTATTAAAGGAGGTACAAGAAGAGATACAGTCTCAGGAATGTCTTAGAGCTATTTATAAGATAAGTCATATAATGAGGCTAACAGATTGTATGTAACCTCTACAAGGTTACACTCTTCCCTACTAGGAAGAAGAGAGAAAGAGGGGAAAGGGAAGAGTGGTGCAAGAGTGTGTGAATAAATATAGGGGGCAAGGAACAGGCAAGGCAGGGAATGGATTGAAGAAGGAGGGATATATTAGAATGGAAATTGAGAATGTCTGTAAGAGAAAAGATGTGTTGAATACAAAGATGAAGATAAGAGAGGAGAAGGTATTAGTTGAACATACTCTACAAGTGTTTTGTAGAATGGAAATTGAGGATTAAGGAGGGCTATGTATGAGAGTCAGCACATAACTGTTGTTCCTATTAGTCTAATACTGTACAGTTGTCTAGTTCCTACTTAAGTAACTAAAGATTGTCTTCTAGACTGTACCCTTTCCAGCAAACAAGGTATTAGAGGCTATGTCCTCATCTTTGTTGATCAATTATTACTTCTACTTCCTACTCTTTGAGTCCTTCCTCTGTAAGGACAGGAGGAGGTTGTACAAGTTCATGTGTAGAGTATAACACAGGATCACTTGTATAGTATTGTTTAAGCTAAGATGTATAGAAGGTAGAAAATTTGGTGTGAGAGTTTAGCAATTCAAGCTAGTAAGTAGAGCATTCTGGGAAAGTCTTAAGGACACAGTACTTACTGTCCCATCTTAGCATGAATTTGACTATACAATTGTTACTACCCTGAGTGTAATCTTAATGCTGATAGAAGGTAGATAGTATAACAAAATCACTAGGAGTATAGGAGTCTTCTGGACTCCTCTTCTGGTTTACAGTATGAGCTTGAGAAGTTTTAGCTAGGATGAGAGAGTCCTACACTTTTACAACATTAAGATCAAGCTACTGGATGAGAGAACAAGCTTGCTTGTCCTCTGGAAGGGTAGGCTTGTTGTCTGGTAAGGGTACAAGAGGTAGGATCAGACAGGGGCATCAGCTAAGGTGAAGTTAAAAGGGGGAAAATCCTGTTAACACATTTTTAGTGTTTATAAGCTTGAACCAAACACAAGGTAGTGTATAGTACTAGCCCTTTTGTTGTCAGTTAATGTAGAATTGAAGTGCCTGGATGACTGACTTGTTTGTATGTTCTAAGATTCTATCTGTTTGAGAGTGATAAGCTGTAGACATCTTCAGTTTAACCCTCAAAATTTTATAAAGAGCCTTCCAGAACTTGGAGGTAAAGAGGTGATCCTAATCTGAGATAATATTGAGAGGAAGGCTGTTTTCACAATACTATCCATCAAAGAAAACACAGGCAAACTCTTTAGGAGTTTGGCCTATACAGATAGGGAGTAGGTGAATATTACTACTAAGTTGGTTAGTAATAGTTGCAATTCTGTTAAACCTATGGTCTGGAGGCAGAGGACCTATAAAGTTAATAGTAATTGTATTACCATGCTAGTCAGCTACAGTAAGAGGGTGTAAAGGACTGGCAGGTTTTTGAGTAGACAATTTATACCTCTGACATGAGTCACATTACTTAATGTATGAATTTTCAAGGTCAGAACACATGTTTGGCCAGTAGAACAATGATTTCAGTGTTACATAAGTCTTGTCAATCCTAAAGTAGCCTATAGAGTCATGAGCAAGTTTGTAGAAATGTTTGCAGAGTTGATTGACATGCAGAACAACAAGCCTGTCACTTAAGAACAGTAGACTGTTCTTAACTTGAACACTAAGGGATTCAAGAGGCTGAGAGAGGAGCTTAGTACAGAATAGGTCATCTTTGTAGGACAATTAGATTTGAAGAAGTAATTGTTCATCTGCAGAGATTGTAAGGCAGGAGGATACTACTGTAGGGGGGGAGAATTCCTCATCTGGAAGTCTGGACAGAGTGTCAGTAGCTTTGTTTTGTTTGCTAGGCATGTATTAAACATTAAAAACATATTGAGCTAGGAATTCTTGCCAACATACTTGTTAGTACAAGAGATCTCTCTAGGAAAGGAAACTTGTGAGTGTCTTGTGATCTGTAAATACAGTGAATGTAGTTCCTAGGAGGTTGGAGCAGAACTTTTTAAGAGCTTTCACAATGGTGAGCAATTCCTTCTTATAGACTAGGTAGTTACACTCTACAGACTTTAAGGGAGTAGAGTCATAAGCAACAGGATGAGTCAAGTCTAGTGAAGGCCCAAAAGAGAGAACTGTGCCTGTACAGAGATCCAAGGTATCTGTGTAGAGATAGATCTTATTGTTACCAGGATCCAGGTAGTTAATGACTGTTAAGTATTGTGTAGACATAGTAAGAGCCTTGATAGTATTAAACACATGTTGAAACTTTGAAGACTAGTGTGGGAAATCCTTATTACATTCCTTTGATGTTAAAGGGTTCAAGACAGTAGTATGTTCTGCAAGTCTAGGTAGAAAGGGAGTAAGAAACTGGACAAGACTAAGAAACCTCTGTGTGTCTGAAGAAGATTGTAGTACTAGCTATTGTATAATCTTCTCAGTTTTGGTAGAGTCTGTGTGTATGCCTTACTGATCTATTTGATAACCTAAGAAATCAATTGATGAACAGAACAAGGAGGTTTTCTTTAGAGAACAGAAGAGGTGTGCTTCCTAAAGGGAGTCTAGAACAACAGAGATATTCTTAGCATAGGCTTTGAGATCAGTAGACTAGATAATAATGTCATCCAGATAGACATGACAGATCTTACTAATGAGACAATGCAAGGCTTCTGTCACACAATACTAGTGGGTGGTAGGAGCATTTCTGTAGCCTATAAGTATAACAGTCTATTTATAGAGTCCAAGCAGTGTATTAATGACAGTCAAGTAGATGTTATCAGGATGAACACAGGTCTGAAAGAAGGCATTTGTTATGTTAATTTTTCCCCAAATAAGACCTTTTGTACAGTTAGCTAGGATATTGTCTATCTAAGGTAGTAGATAGTTATCAGGTATTGTATTACTGTTAAGCTCCTAATAATTACAAACCATATGTGGAAGAGCTGAAGGGTCTGATTTAGTAATGAGGAAAGTAGGAGAGGAGATAGGACTAGAAGAGGGTCTTAATCTGCTAGTCAGAAGATAGCTCTGTAGAAGGACCTCTCATGTGTTACAATATTTTCTAGAGCAGGAGTACTGGCAAGGCTTTATCTGAAGGTATGAATCTTTCAATTTGAAGTGGTGAAAAACATTAGAAGGGAGTGTGTCCACATAGGGGAGCTCTAAACAGAAAAGTAAAGTGTATTACTTACACAGACTATTACTTAACTTAGAGAGATGATCCTGTAAGGTAAGCTCTTGGATTTTTGCATGTACTACTAAGATAATGTCTGGAGAGGGAGAGTCAACTTGCAATGCTTGTAAAGTTAGAATCCAGCAGGATATAGGCA